CTTTGGAGGATGACGATGACGTGTAATTAGCTGGATCAGCACATCAGACCGGACAATCCCATATTCTTGGGTCCTCCCTTAGCTCAGTTGGTAAAGGCGCAGCTACAAAGCTAGACCATGCTGGATGTGGCTGGGTTCAATTCCCGGTCCGGTCTAGGAATTTTTCGGGTTGGAAAATTTCTCGACTTCCCTAGGCATAGAAGTATGATTGGACTTGCCACACAATTATACTAATGCAAAAATAGTACAGGCATCGAAATCCCTCAATTAATAACTGTGGAAGTGCATCTAGAACACTAATATAATGAGAGAGAGAAGGATTAGTAATTTCCAATTAATTCCACTACCTTATTTGCTTATCCTTGACAGATACGCGTATTTCGTCTACAATGTGCAGACTTCTTCAGTGTCTTGTACTAATATTCGACTGAAGAAAAACATCGCATTTACCGAATATATATTAACACAGGTACATTTTCACTTAGAAACTAGGTAAACTTAAATTCAATTTCCTGTAGGAACAGGTACTCCGCTGCTTACTCGTTGATGTGTTCTAGGTAGTAACTTGAAAAGCCATGTGTGTTCGTTTTCTTGATCCCTGTTGAGTAAAGTTGAATTACGTTGTTTGTTGATCTCGAGGCTTTCTGCAACATCCAATTTCCATGGTGTAGATACGGTTCGTAAAATCGTAATGTCCTCCGTCGATAGTTGGTGGTCCTCTGTGAAGATGTGTTCTGCAACCTTTGATTTGAAATCATATGTTAGGCATTTTTCCTTTTGCTTTTTGGCCTTATTAACCTCCGCTATAGGGGAATTTACGTATTCTCGGCAACCTACGCAGCGACCTTCTTTCTATAGCCTTTTTCTCTAAGGAACGCACACATATGCAGTATTGGTTTGTTTACAATCTTTTGCTGCCAGCTGCTCTAACAATTTCAGACGAAAGAATTGTCAAAAACTGTTTTGAAACGCTTTTACAAAGCACCAATCTTCTCTAGTGAGAGCGAGTATTGTCGGCAACCAGTTTTTCTTCGGCAACCGTTGCATTTGAACTGCATGTAAATCTGCTGTTCTATTATCGGCAACTCGAAATCAGCAACAATTTGTAGTGCGTGTGTTTCATTTCAAGAAAACCTTGCTAGATTGCTTTTTCTCAGTGGTAAAAATATAGTCAAATTGAAGCTGAAAGCATAAAGAATCGTTTGCATGCATTCAGCGAAGTGTTTTCGTAAGAAAATCCAGTGAAAATAGTGTTTCAATTTGGGTTGCCGAAAATAGTCTGGCATGCCGAAGCCGTCAAGTTCTCTTGGTTTGTCCTACATCTACTTTGTTACAATGCTTCTCGACAACTCGACAAAAGGTTGACATCATCCTCCCAGATTTCAATGAAACTATGTGGATGTAAAAATATTTTTTACTTAAGAAACTTTACATACACATTATTTAAAAAAAAAATCCGCATTTTTATCGACCATATCAACAACATCCATTTTTTTGTCAATTCATCAGAACCTATTGGAAATATTTTTAAAGGTGCTTCAAAACTAATCAAAACTGTATTGAGTCATTTAGCTTACAATAGACATTTAATAACTTCAGTTGATCACAAAAAAACTAGGGTAATATGTTTTATATATTTGCATGAAAAATAAAGTTTGAAGTGTAAAGTGAGCGGTGAATGCGGGTTGAGTGGTGAACGGGCACCACATGGTAGTTATCCAATCAAATCACGTTGAGCTCCAAGCATGATTTGGCTCCAAATGCTTGGCATAAATCCGCAAAAATATTCAAGGATGAGAAGACAAAACTCAATACCCGGGTAGAGGGGAATATCAAAACCAGAGTCAAATAATATCAATTTTTTCTATCAATTTCTTATTATTTGCTTTATATCAAGTTAATTGCAGAATATGCTGTCGAAGCATAATTTGCTATTGTTATGATATTTTGGTATCATGAATTCAAGAGCTAACTATGAGTTGATTGCAGAATAAGCTATTCATACGTAAATAAATTTATTAATTTGAACAACAGGAGCTTGATGAGATATAAGATAATAGCAAAATGTGATATTTATTTGCTATGATTTTTTCTACTCTTTAGATATGCTAACAATTGACTTTGCTATTACTTAGTTCTGGTCCCATAGATTTTATGATATTATTTTTGATATGTTACCTCTTTTACCAGTGTTGGAAAAATATAAAAAAAATCAAATCTCACCGCTTGATTTTCTGAGACAAAAATCATTAAGCACACAACTGCAGTTGATATTGCCAGCTGTGATGTTGCAGCTCGGAATATCAAGCTAACAAAACTTACCAGCTGCAAATATCTCCAAACTGTGGTGAGATTGAGTTTCATGATTTTTGCTTTACACCCGAACGCAACCGAAACTTCCCTAACGGCTGGTAGCAGTCGCTTTGTGTCTGCCATTAGTGAAGAGATAAAAGAGATAGCATTATTATACCTTCTCTTTCTAAGAAAACGAGGTAGGGTAGAGCGCTACTTCATCGTAATCGCCCATTTCCGAAAAGATCAATAATATCAATGATTTAACCGTGCACAAATCAATCATAGGTTTGTTCCGATGCGTTAGTTCATTAGCTACAATATAAATCCTATTAGAGCGCATTGTATGAATATTTACGCTGATTGTTTTCAAAACAAAAGAAGCGCTCCTAGCGAATTCCCTTTTTCTTCGTTTATCCGTACGACGAAGAAAATTTAATGGCGTTTCAATGCGTTTGGACGGAATTGAAACTCGTAGGACGGATTTAGAATCAAGAAGCAGTATTAGATTTTGAACAATATCTCAACAATTTGTCACTCTTTATCAAATCTAACGGTACGTATGGAAAGGTGAATAAGTTTAGAAGCCATCTTTGACAGAATTATTCAAATGTTTGTTCAAACCCGTTCAAAACAGAGAGGTAAAGCGCGGATTGTGCTTAGTAGGACGGAAATTAGATCAAAAACCCTACAACGGAATCATTTTTGCGTCGATTCAACTCTTAGCTTCAACTTTACACGTTGTAAATAGTCTCGCAATATGAAAGGAGCTTGTAAAATCAATATCAAGCATTATATTTTTCTCCAATATCACGCGTGATATTGAGAGCGTATGAGAGTGGAAAAATATCAATTTGCTAATGACCATACCATCACTGTCTTCTACAAATAAAACTAATAGCATTTTTTGATGTTCTGTTCCCCCATTTTAATAATAGAACTTGCTATTGCTTTGATATTATCGGCTACTCGGGTACCTATCACCCTTCGCCATTCGGAATTCAACAACGTTTCAATCTCCAGGAAGCATTTCAGCCACACTAAACAGCACGCACGCGTCTATTCCATCCCAAAATATCCATAAACAATATCGGAACAATCACCTTTTACAAACTTCGCAATGACGCACAGAGCAGTATCTGGGTCGAAAAGCTGGCCAAAATGATTTTCATGCATCTTCGAGTTTAATTCCGTATATTTTGTTATAATAACATATAGGGGAAATGTATGTAATGTCGGCCTAAATGTCCTTAATTTGGGCCCATACATAAATTCAGCAATCGACTAAATTTTCAATAGCAACCAAAAATATCCATTAGTACCGTCCCAATGACAAGTTCATCTAGATAAAATTGATCAATAGCAGATTTTTAGCGATGCGCCCAATGTTAGATCCATAGGCCAACATTAGAGCCATTTCCTCTAATTATGAGTTCCGATTGTTAAATAATAGGCCAACACTAGAGCCTACAGTATACATAATTATTTCTTTTTGCCCTTCTCCTTTTCCTTTCCCTATTTTCTTTTCAGAAAGTGAGTCATAACGCTATAGCCATAAGCCATAAAAGGCTGGGACAAGTGTTAGTGTTCATTTCAGATCCGTCAGAGGAAAATGGATCATCACTTAACCTTTTTAACTTAAACAGGCTTGGATTTAAACAGACCCAATGTTTTTTTAATCATCTTGCCCCTTAAATGCTGCAAGTAAGCCGGTCATTTTGGTATGTGAGACGCATCTTCGACGTGAAACATACATCAAATAGACAAGAAAAGTAATGGAGGTATATAAATCATTTCATTTCAAGAACTGGCTGTGTTGGCGTTAGATTAGATTAGATTAGGCAACTCATTTCTTAGAAGTCCAATCTACCAAATGGTTTCAAACATTTTGCTCGGAAAGGTCCGGAAGATAATCAAAAAGCATCTCAATACTATCTCATTAGTAAACAATGGTAGCTTACTTCCTTCCCGATTATGTTTATTATTTTAAATACTGTTCTCATTAGGTTCAAAATATTCCACATACCTTTCGTAGAGCTGTTTGAATACAGGTAAATAACTGTTTCGAATTTCGAGAAAACTTAGAATGATTCTCACTAATGTATTGGATGAAAACTGTCCATGCTACTAACAGCAAGATTTTGACAGCTGATGAGGCAAAAATTAAGTCAAAATGACTGCAACATAACGCACAGGACAGTGGCGTACAATGTGAGGAGCTAGCGAGAGTTTTGAGTTTTCCCATTTTGACCAGCTTTTCGACCCAAATACTCCTGTGTGCGACGACGCATTAGGACTCTTGATACGTCCACCTTTCCATCACTGTAGCATACAAATGAGGAATGTTGACCGGTAGAACAGAGTATTCCGATCCGAAACTTGTCACCTGCATTGGTGTGATTGTGACGATCTATCGAAATGATAGCATTCTGTGGGTTAGCTTAGGTATGGGTGTCGTGGATCTGCCTCTCGGCAAAACAAAACACACCGGGTGAAATATGTACATAGCAGGGATCGTAGAGCGGAACCCGACATCGATGATGATGACAACGGCGCGCGGTGCGGTATAGCGACGCTCTGATGGCAAAACTGCTGGAGGTGCGTCGTCGGCTTACTGAAGTTCAAACGGTGGCTCAAAGCATCAGTCGATTAGCGATCGCGGCGCGAGGAGGCACAAACAAAACAACAGTCCGAAGATATCAGGTGTAGGGTTCCGCGCATAGTTTGTTTAGCAGTGAAATGCACATAAGTCTGTAACGCGTCGTAACGGAGCGTAACGTAAGTGGCACGTGGTCGGAAAATATAGTCGCTCGGAGTGGTGTTTTCTTGAGGGAGGGTTATTTTTCTGCACATGCGATGCTGCAAAGCTGAGATGTAGATTTGCTATTGCAAAAGTGCACCACCCGTGAGCACTCGAACTAGGCTAGGACATTTTCTGGGGCATGAGACTTACATCCGAAGGTTGGAAAGTTGTGCAACTGCGTGGCTCGGTACAAGTAATGCCGCGTAAAGTCACGGTTAACGAGATTGCACTTGAAAACCGGCACCGGTGTGGTCGTCCAAATGGTGACTGTTGAGTTATGTTAGCTGCATGATGTGCGTTGGGTGTATCGAAGTTTTGTGATTTTGGTTTGGTGATAGGCCTATACCTACCTAAATGTGAACATGATTAATGTGTGATCGTATTTGATGAGCTGTTGTGAATTGGTGTGACCTTTGAGCGCGAGGAAGTGAGGCTGCAAAAAGACCGACCGTATGCTGGAGGGCTGATCGATGGTGACATTGAAAGGGAATGGGTAATCGTTAGGTGGTTTTTGTGTGTGAACGACGGCGATGGTCGTAAAGCACGTATTAAATAATCAAGGCAATTTGTTTTGTTTAGTGTTTGTCCATAACAATTGCGTTTGGTGGTCACTGTTGGTCGGAGATTCTGATTCAGAAAGTTTTCAAACATTCTGGTTGATAGTATGATGATATATTTTTTATAGTCAAGTTACAGTAGCAAAACCAAACGTTTAATTTAACCCACCGGGAATTAAGATTTTAAATTTCATCAATTAAGATAATGATTTTGGGCCATTAGGTTGAAGCCCAGTAGACCGGAAGTCATTTGGCGTAATAAGAGAAAACTGAATAGTGCACTGTGAATTAAAATTTCCGGGCTAAAGGAACACACATATTTTTTATTTCATATAGATTTGAGGAGTTTCAAGTAAGGCGTGGTACATAAATTATGTGATCTAAAAAATCTAGATTTTTATAACAATAGTAACTCTTGACAATACTCCCCCTAACATAACGTAACTCTAACTCACTTGATCCTTTCTTTTTTTTTCACGACTTGATAAAAAATCTCCATTACCAGTTTCAATAATTTTTATTATGTTATAGATTTAAGGGTTGCGTGGATTTATTTACAGCAAATTTTTGTTTCGTTTTGGATTTCTTTCATTTTGCTTAAATTAGATCCCCCTCCCCTATATGTAAGAATAAGTAACGCAAACTCAGCCCCCCTCCCCCATACATGCGTTACGTAATTTGTGCACGAAGCCTGATTACAATACTTAAAACGTTTATGTAAAAGGTGGACTTCATCAAAGTTGTGGCTGAGAAAATTTCCTATGAGTACAGAATATGGCTTAAAAGCTAGGTCAACTTAAGCAAAAAGTTCAGTTCCCTCTTGCAATTGCCATGCAAGCTTCAAAACAGTTTCAAATTGCAACCAAATGGGCTTTTATTTCGATGTGATGTTCAGGCCCTGGTTTGGAATCGATTGCACTGTGTGGTGCAAAAACGAGAATTTGATCATCTCATCATAACGTAGCATTCTTGTTAAAATCATGCCGTGATCCATGATTTTTTCAGTGCCCAAGAAAACATCGAAAAATCCTTATTAATGATATCAGGTGGCTCAAATTGTGTCGAACATCACCAATTCAATCGAAATCAAGGATCGAAATGAGTGAGTGGCTTGCAGTGAGCAAACATTCGCGATGTACATATTCCATAGGTTCATTAAATTATATGGTCAATATCGCCGGACACGTTCATGCGGTTATCGGGGAAAAGGAGGATTGTTAGTTCGAAATCCGTTGAAATTGAAACTAAATCATTTTTTAATTGTCCATTGCGGGAAAGTAAGAATGGGTTTGAAGGCATTACATTTGTTGCCACATTACCGCATTCAATGTTACATGGTTGGAGCTTAAATATGTTATGAATCACCAGCACTGCTGATGTTTTCGGCAGTTTCAAGAACTGCACCGCATTGCAGGGGGTTGGTTGAACATCACAAGCAAGTGGTTGCTGCCTTCAAACGCAAACCCAACTTCCGTTCGGGATGTCGCGAAAAAACGAGTTTCAAATCTTTTGCCGCCATTTAAATCTTAAGATTTATTCGGTATCAATCTCCCTGAAAGTACTCTAAACTTTTCTAAAGGTAATAAAACTGCACTAAAACCTCTAAACTTCTCATGAGTTGTCTGAAACTAATGGAACTGCCTTGAAGTTCGCTGATCTTTGCTGAAGTCTTGCATTTTTTCTTAAGTTTTCGAAACTGCTCTAAAGTTTAGGTTTGCAGTTTTGTAAAATTATGAAGTTTGATATGTCGCACGACAGGTTTTGGTTTTTGTTGAGAATTGACCACTTTTCCTGGGGCAAAGGAATATGGCCGGGAGGACTATTGTGGCCATAGACTATCAATAAGGTCATTACTGGCCAAATTTTATTAAATCATGAACTTTGATATGTCGTACGACGGGTTTTGGTTCTTGTTGAGAGTTGGCCTCTTCCACGGGGGCACCGTAACTATTCCGAGATGCCCAATGTAATCATGGACCATCGGTATAGCTACCATTGGTACAATTGCATGATTTGATTATAGTTATTACAGAACAACAAAGCCAAATTCTGGGACCCAAACGGAAACCGGAATAACTCCAGAACCCAAGGGGTAAGTCACTCAGCACATTGTGCCGAAATTATATACGGCACAGCTTGGGCACATCTATCGGCACATTTTCGGCATACCTTCGGAACAATCTCGTAGGCATTAGATTGTTGTAAATAAAATGGGAGCACAGCTGGACAACTGTCATTGAACTTGTTCAGAACATTACGTGCTGTTTGACTGTATGTTCAGGAACATCTTCTAATTGAATATACCAGAGGAACTCAGACCAGCAGTTCACTTATAGATCAAAATACGAAATCCTAGAGTGGAATCAAGAGGAAGAGGCAGTTAATCAGACCTCATTAGTACCCTTAATTCAAATAATGCTGCAACTCACACAAAACAAACTAAAGAAGTCTATTTATCACCCTCTACAGTCGGTCTCCAACAATGCTCCCCACCGGTTCCAACTCTTTCCGGCCGAAAGGTTAGGTTTCTGGTCTGCCTTTGAGGGCATTATAAAACATTAAAACACAGGACTTTTATTACCCTATGGATCATAAAACACCGAAACTTCGCACACTCGCCACTTCCCGCGTCATATTCAATCCGATTTATCCTTGCGATTTCAAACCAAAACATTCAGGGTGTCAGAAATACCGGGTTGCCGGGAATATACTTGAATATATTTCTGACAAAATTCAACTTGTTGTGCAGATAAAGATTGAGAAATTATGATTTTAGAGCTAATTGAAATTTTGAAATCTTTGAATATTTAGACGTTAAGAACGCAAAGGTTATTTCTAATTCTGGACTTTCCTTAAGTTCTCGAAACTTCCTTGAAGTTATCGGAACTGCCCTAAAGATCTGTATGGTTCCTGACGCTATTGAAACTTTTTGTTTAATGTTCTCCTTAATTTTCCTCAAGTTCACTGTACTTCTGTGAAGTTGTCTGGACTTCCTTTAAAATCTCTAGCATTAAAAATCTCCACCGAAAACGCGAGTTAACTCCGTCGAAGCTCACTGGAACCTTCTTTGGCAGCACCGAAAATCTCCACCGAAATCTCTTGGAACCCTTTCCGTCGTGAATTTCTGAAAACTCCGTCGAAACTCCCCTCGAAAATTCAGATGCTGACAACGGAGGTTCCCAGAGACCCAGAAACGAAGTTCCGCGTGATTTCGGTGATTTTGGATGCTGCCAGCGGGAGTTCCTGGAAGTTTCAACGGATCTGTTCTTGTCTTCTCTGTGAATTAAATTCTGCATGATTTCGGTCCCATTCTAGCAGCTGTCTTGTTCTGATAAAGGGTTCATCCACCAGGATTACGTTTGACTTGGTTTGACTAAATTTAATACATTTGGACTACATTGAGTCTGTTGATGTTGACAAATAAATACATTACATAAAAAAAATGCGAAACTTCGATGGCGTTGGCGATTTATGATGCTGCCAGTGGAGTTTCCAGGGAATTTTAACGGAGTTTTCTCGCGTTTCAGCGGAAGAGTTTCTGCACAATGTTGGTGGAGGTTTTTGATTCTGCCAGTGGAGATTCCAGTTTCGACGGAGTTTTCTCGCATTCACGGTGGTGATTTTCGGTGCTGCCAACGGAAGTTTCAGGAAATCTGTACAGTATTTTCTCTTGATTTGAAGGAGGAGTTCCCGCATGATTCCGGTGGAGATTTTCGATGCTGCAAACAACGGAGGTTTTACGGAATTTCAACGGAGTTGTCTCGCGTTCTCGGCGGAGCAGGTTTTGCGTGATTTTGATGTTGGCAGGGGAAGGTTGCAGGGAGATTTTCGTGAATTCTCTACTCCGAGTTTTCTTTTCCTGTTGTGTTTGTTTATCATCGCCTCGATGCAAGTATGTATGTACAGGTGTCACCGAAAAAGCGCATGCTTTGGTTTGATGTTCACATCCCACTGAATGGTTGATGCAAACGATGGAAATTAAATGCATTTGATTTAAATCAAGTCCATATTCGATGGGCATTCTAAAAGTGAGACTCTAGGGTTGTGCCAACAATCCTACTAATCTAACTGAAAAATGATACTTTAACTATTTTGTTTGTACTACTTCTGCGTGAAGTTAACGATTTACATAGTTGAAGATGCTAATGTCAAATAACAGACTAAAGTAGTAATTTTTATACGATAGATGAGGAGATGAACGTATAGAGTTGATAGTTCCGTTAGAGCACGGCAGTGTGAAAATTGGATATAGAGAGTAGAAAGCGAGCAAGGACAACTTTGAGGAAGGTACGAATCGGGATAATCATCTCTCTTTACCAAACTCCCCCTTTGGAGAGGGATGGTGAGGGGTATCCACCCCCCTCCCGCCACTCCTGGCAAAAAGAGATGATCACCGCTTTGCTCATGTACCAATCATGTGTTTGAAATAGGTGTATCGATTGTACCACACTTAAGATATTATCTGAAGGGAGGCATCTAGTCGTAGGTTTGGAAATTGCAGCTATTGTTACCTCTACCACGGTATGTGCTTACCATCAATAACTGTCATTGGTCGAAAGGTACAGTAGCAGCATAGAGGTAACTCTAAGACTAGAAGGTCCCGAAATAACGTGCTCAACGTTTTGGCTCAGCTCTGGTACTCTCTTCGGTCCCAAGCTAATCGATTCACCCCTCGAAACATAGGAAAAACCAATAACCCCCTCATTTTATCTGTCAAACTTTCATAGCGAATCAAAACAAACATTGCGTAGTACTGGAATTTCGACTAGAATGGGGTACGTTAATCGTTTGCTTGGGACCAATAGGCTAGTCAAGTAGTGAGCCAATTTAAAATCGTTAGTTTCGTATTGATTGTTGATAGCAGCACCACCCCTACCCGTGTATCCTCGAGACCGTCAAGTCGACGTGACATAAACAGATTCTATAAGGTAATTGTCAGAAGTCTTTTGTAATAATTGTGTAAATTAAACCTCTGCTAATTATACGAAGTAACTGCATTCTCGCCAAAACATTTAACCTTGAAAATTAAGCTGTTGTAGGAATTAAAGGTTGAACACGAAAAAATCCGAACACGAACATTTTGTCGGGTTTTAAAAATACGTTTTATTTTTCATAGTTTAATGTAACAGCTATACGTTAGTAGGTATTATGCTAATTGTAAGACCATTTTTTCAGTATTCCTTCTTACCATAGGACATTGCTCGAACTTTTCTTCGTACATGGCCCATCATCTTTTGCACGAGCCCTGTTCCCACTTGTTTGGCTGTCAAATTCCATTTCCGCTTGAAATCCTTCAGGTCAATTGCAGTTCCGCCCTTTTTCTTCAGTATGTGCTTCACAATTGACCAGTATACCTCAAGTGGCCTTACTTCTGGAGTATTGGCCGGATTAATCTCCTTGGGAACCACTATGACGCCATTTTCGCTGTACCACTGTTTGGTGGAATTTGAGTACTGGCAGCTTGCCAAGTCCGGCCAGAATAGGCAATCCACCTCATGATGCTCCAGAAAAGGCAGTAGTCCTTCAGTAGGCCCCAGGTGCTCGCCTAACTTTTCAAAAGGTCCTAAGTAACAAATGTAAACAAATCGAGTTTATAAATGCACATTGTAACATTTGAACCTAAGAACATTATGCACACACACACATTCAGATTAATGTCAATTGAATTGAGAAAATTCTAAATTAACAAAACGTCTGAAGTCCAAATTTGCATTAACGATGTTTCACTGTTACATAAGACGTTTGACTATGTTCATCAAGACAAACGTCTGAAGTATCACAAAAACCAAAACAGTGCAGATCTGTACTTCGGTCCTTTGTGTTTATACGAGTAGAACGTCTAAAATGTTCAAACAAACCAAAACAATGTGATTGTGCACATTGGAATTTTCATGTCAAGCATTTTTCTACTATTTCCGGGGGGGGGGGGGGGGGGATTGACAATTATCCACGGCCCATACAAATTTTAAAATTTTTATATGGACAATTGCCTACGCATGGGGAGGGTGAGGGTCAAGAATACCGAAAAGCTGTCTACGTAGTTAATGAACAGCCCCTAAAATAACATTGTTATCAAATAAAAAGCAGCTCACGCGACCAGCAACGATCGACCAAAACAATCTATGGGCAGTGTTGCGATATACCGTTAAAAAAAAGTTGATGCATTGTCCAATACTCATATTGTTCGTTTAACTCGTATAACTTAAATTATGCACTCATAATGCTTAAAAACAAACAAATAGTGTTGAAAACATAAATGACCTATGTAACTGTGATTATAACAAAACGTCCTATATAACATGTCCAATGTACACCTGACAAGAGCAAAATGTCCTATGTAACATTTTTCACGTTTTCATAGAAAAAAAATGTATGAAAAGGGTAGATTATAATTTCAATTTCAATTTTACTATCGCATTTTACTATTAAAGGTCTTAAAAATGTCAAAAGTTGATTTGGTTTAAAATAGTATCAAAAAAGATTTTGTCAATCTTCAACCTCGTTTTTCTCGAAAAGAGTGGAATGTTAGATAGGACCTTTTGAAAAGTTAGGCGAGATTTCTTCTACACACAACTTAGCTGAAAATAAAGGCAAACAGATATACCAACTACTTGCATGAATCTGAATTTTGAAATAACAACATTCTCTTGATCAAGGCAACCTCTGATTATTGTAATAAACATTTCAAGAACAACACGTGAAAAGGGCATACAAGCTTTTTGTAAGCAAACCTTCTTATGCCCTTTTCTCGCTACCCATATGACACCAACGCAAACCATCAACATCATCGGATAGGGCTAACAACATCTCGATGATGTTGTTAGTTTTCGTGGGGTACCCTCGGTTGGCGAGAAAAGGGCCTACAAGTTTGTTTACAAAAAGCTTGTATGCCCTTTTCACATGTGGCTCTTGAATTTGTTTTTCTTCATTCGTGGCTGGATGTTCATTATCGCCACCGTTGTTGCCAATATTAATATTCGTCTTCATCTTGGTGGGGATGATTTTGAGGATCAAATGCGAAATGATTATTTTCATTTCACATAAATATAGCGCTGAAGGACGCGTCATCTAAGTTTTTACACATAAACCGATGAAAAAGCTCCAGTTTTAGGCTCTGGAGTCAACAATATTCAAAATAATCATTTTGCCCAAAATGAATTTGATCATTTTGCTTTTGAGGATCATTTCTGATTTTGACAATTTCGGGTTGGATAATCAAGCACTGGAGAATATCAACAAACACGCATTCGTTGATGTATAATGAACTCATTTGTTCATTTCGCTCGTACGTAACAGCGATGATTTTCAAAACAAACCCAATTTATCTACACTGGGTTGAAGCGCTACTCCTTGAGTGTAATGGTAAATGATAAAAACAGACACTGGTAGGCACTCCTCCTGGTAAATTTGCTGGTTCATGGTCCCAGAAGTAACGAAAGTTTCGCTTTTCAGCCCACAACTGCAGATTGCTTGCCAGACAGGGAACTTTGCGGGAATTAGACTTCTTTTTGATTTTACATTCTTTTGGGTCACTCTTCCGGTCAACCGAGGTATAACATTCCTGCCCAGGAATTTGATCGAAAACTGCCAGGAGCGGATAGACCGGGATTTTCGTTTCGAGCGTGCAGGATCGAATCGCAACATGCTTGCTCCGGTGAAGCCACGATGTAAACAAATGAACTTATCCTGACAACCTATTACCATAGAGGTAACTCTAAGACTAGGAGGTCCCGAAGAAACGAGCTCAACTTTTAGGCTCAGCTCTGGTACTATCTTCGGTCCCAAGCTAATCGATGCACCCCTCGAAATATAGGAAAATCCACGAACCCCTCATTTTATCTGTCAAATTTTCATAGCAAATCAAAACAAACAGTGTGTAGTACTAGAAAGTCGACTCGAATGGTTTACGTTAATCGACTTGCTTGGGACCAATAGACCTTTTTGACGTTTAATCATCTTTCTCTATCTAGCACACATGGATGAATGGACGGTTTGTTTTCCCACTAATCTGTTTCCCTCTTGCTCGCACTCGTTCGCTTTAAATGGTACAGTAGTGTGCGCCGATTGAACGTCAAAAAGCTTTATAGGCTAGTCAAGTAGTGAGCCAATTTAAAATCGTTAGTTTCCACTGGTTGCTATTACAACTGTGATTCTATACACTCTTAGCTTCATTCAGTGAAATTTTGATAAAATTTGCTCAAAAAAAGCCCAAATTAGAGCCATTTTCCCTATATGCTATTTATTTTGTGTGTTCCAAATCCTCCATCTCTGACACCATAGACTACTTGTCCATAACTTGTGGAAGGCTTTATGAGACATTTATAATTTCTGCACACTCCTGAACAGAAAACGGTTCACTTTCCCGCCATAAACATCAACAACGAATCTTTCGTTGTCAGAACAAAAGGTCAATTAGTGTTAAATTCACACCATCACTTCAAGCCCACAAGGCTGGCATGCTGCAAATCCAACAACAAATTGCATACTCTACAATCAATAACAATATAGACAAACTGCATGCAAGGCCCCACAGCTTGCTGCAAGGATGCCACCATCGAGAGGCATCACTAAACTGAAGCTATAAATGATACCGATATGCACTTTCGAAGAAGTGCAGTAGTCATCACCATCATCACCATTAAGTCGGCTAACCAACCGGAGGTGTCGAAATTGTTGACACGCACACGATATTTGCTCCGAGTACCTAATAACTTTTGAACTGCCATTGCGCGGTGCACTGCACGATTTTCCTTTTAATTAGGTTCCGTTGAAACTGACTTTGCAAACGAAAATGTACTGCAGATTTTGAAATGTTTCAATGTTTTCAATGTTAAAGGGGAATTGGCATGACTTTGTGTGTGTGTGCACTTAGTGCAATTCAATAGCGTTTTGTTGTTGGCTGGTTTCGTTCATCACTTAAAAATGTATTTATTTTTCTCGATTGACAAACATCGTTCACCCTCACAGGTCCTTCCCGCTGCTCATGTAGGTAGGATTGCACACAAAAAGGTTATTGGAAAATCGCGAAACGCCATGACAGCTATTAATAGTTCGGGTACATGTTGAAAGTGCACTCTAAAATTTCACTTGGAACGGTCCGAAATAGCCAGCCAGGGAGGAATTGATGGAACAATGAAAACAACAGCTTCGGTGCACTTGGTTGAGCTTTTTCCACGTGTGGGTGGCTTTGTGAGCTAGTGGGCGGTGTTTTTATTTTTCATGAAGCAGTGGGGAATGTCCCACCGGATGATGGACGGAGTGGTGGTCATCAACCACCGACCGGTGGCAAAGTGTTCATGTTCAAGTGTCTGTGAATCTCTTTGAATTTCTCTTCCATTTTTAGCAATCGGAATCCTACAGGGACAGGGAGTGAAGTGCCGGATTGTGTAGGTAGATGTGTAGACCAATTTGTGTTATTGTGTATGAAGTGATAGTGGCCCGAGTGTTGTGTGGGAAGTTCTATACGAGCAAGGAATAGGGGATAGAAAAGTATACCGAGTGTCAGAATAGTTTGCATTGTAAACACAACGGAGGAGGATATTGATTGGCTGTGTAGTCTTGTGTGGTGACAGTCGCAGCCGTAGTTAATCCGGATAAGGAAATGGTCCTCAGCGAAAGTCAACTGGCACTATGTACAGTTTTTACATTGTATCTGGGTAAGTACTTGAATGCTTCAATTGGATTTTTTTGATACCGGATATTGTTTTGTGAGTTAATAAATAGGGAGCTCACTTTGTCACTTGTTAGAAGCAGATGATTGAATCATTAATTGACTGTATAGGAATAGTTTAAGGTGGATATTCAGGATGAATAGGGGGTCTCAGTCAGTTGAGAAGCACGGTCTTACCAAGCCGCAATTTTCCTCGATATCTGTGGGCACACAGTATTCAATTCATGGATTGGTTGGCATGGAATGCTCTCAATTAATACTCATTAATAATTTATCAGTTGATTAAATATCATTAGGGTGATGCAAAATTTACTTTTCTCGAATGTGCATAAAAAGAGTTAGTGTCTTCATAAAACATGTAGAACTAGCATCTTTCTCGAAGACAGCATTTCACTACTTCTAGATTCTGACGAGATAAAGCATTGTTTTGCACACAACTAATTTAATGCGTTCAAATGTTCTACAAAGCTATTTTTTTATATATATTAGAATGCACATGTTTTGCTGGACATTGTTTACCTTTTGTGACGTATATTTATTTAAATCTTTTTGAATAATTTTTGGCACCTTTTCAATAACTTTAGCTCAAACTGAGGCAAATTGTGGCAGATCAAACTACTTTCAGTTGAAAATGCTACCTTTTTTAGTACCATGTCACTATGCCTAATTATCTATCCCCTTTAGATTTAAATAAACAAATAAGCTTTACCGATCGCATCACTTACCGCACTAAATCCAGATCAAAAACAACCGTACCCACACTAAAGGGCTGACCATAATGGTAGCGGTATAGCGGCAAGCGCAAATTTTCCAATACACTGAAATTCGTTTGACAATCCACAATGACCACGATGCGGCAAAATCGGCAATTTACTAAAACGCCCTTTTCTAACATTTTGGAAAAATGCGGTGCGGTTGAGTGGTAACCTGAGAAATGCTCAATGTATTCAGTTGTATTTTTTGTCATTTTGAATTAACCAGAACCTTCAAGCCGTGAACCAAATAATCATCGAAGATCGTAGTGAGTAGTCAGAATCATGTTGGTCGCATCCGGACATGTTCCGGGTACCCCCGGGGGAATGGTCAGATTCTTCTCGAACCAACACCCTCATGCAACACATCAAACAACATTAGAATTCAAAATAAGATCATTGGTACCCCCGGGGAAGAGGTTAGATTCTTATTAAACCAACACCCTCAAGCGACACATCAAATTACATGAACATTCAAAAATATGATTATTGGTGGCCATATTAAGTACTCAATTCCATGTTGGCTAGATCCGGACATGTTCCGCATACCACTGGAGAAGTGAAACTTAAACCTACATCCTCATGTGACACATCAAACTACATGAGAATTCAAAAATTAGAACATTTATGGCCATTAGAGTGATGCAAAATTTGACATTTTCGCTTCACAGGGCTTAAGCGGTTCCAAATCGGGACTAGATTAGCCTCCCAAGGTTTGAACTGATTTGGTAAGAAACTGACTGGGCACAAACCATTTGAAACTTATATCGGAATTACTATGGGGAAACCAAACTTTTTCTTCGTAGTCTTCTATCCTTTTTCCTTATTGCAACATTAAAAATTTATGTAGCTATTCTTATGGAAAATTTTCTCAGCTATAACTTTGCGCAATATTGTTTTTCAGCCAAACATCAATTTAAATAGTTATTAATTGCTTAAGAGATTGATAATCTTATGGCATGATCAAGTAACTGTTTTGTGGGCAACACTGTATTCTGCAGTGTGACATAGTAGCCATGATGTTTTAGCTCTATTCCCAGAAACACCAATGTTGCCTGCTGAGCAGTTGATTGAGAATAATTAACAACTTTTGATCCTTACATTTGATCGAAAAATGGTCCTCAACAAAGTTGTAGTTGTGAAAATTTACTACAAGTACAGTTATCAATTTTTAGAGCAGAGTAATACGATGAATTATTAGATAGATATGAACACAAAATTTGGTTTTCCTATAGTAATCTCCATATAAGCTTTAAATGGTTTGTGCCAAGTTAGTTTCTTACTAAATGAGTTCAAATTTTGGAAGGCTAATCAGGAACCAAATAGGAGCCGTTTGAACACTGTGGAGCGAGAATTTCAAATTTTGCATCAGTCTAATGGCCATATTAAGAACTCAGGACCACACAGGCCAGACATGTTCTGGGTGCTCCCAGGGAGTTTCATCAATTTTCCGAAATTTTCCTGAAGCAATGGAACTTCTCTGGAGTTCTCGGAACTTCCCTGAAATTCTCTTCAGAACTAATACAAAGGTCTCCTCAGAACTACTCTGAAACTTTCCCCAGAACTACTCTGAAGTTTTCCTCAGAACTACTCCGAAGGTCTCCTCTGAACTACTGTGATGGTCTCCTCAGACTTACTCTGAAACTTTCCACAGACAAATTCTGAAGTTCTCCTCAGAAGTACTCTGAAATTCTCCTTAGAATAACTCTGAAATTCTCCTCAGAATTACTCTGAAGCTGTCCTCAGAACTATTTTGAAGTTCTCCTCATAACTACTTTGAACTTAAGCATTTTCCTATAATGTACAAAGATGTCTAAATATTCTCTTGAATATATTTAAACTTTCCCGATATTCGGGACTTTCCTATAGATATCTTTACTCCCCAGAAGTTCTTTGAACTTATCAATAAATTAGATTTCTCTGTACTGCCCTAAAATTTACGGAACTTGCCTTAAGCTCCGCAGTTTTCCTGATAGCATATTTCCCCACGGTTCATTGTACTTCTTCAAAGTGCTCCCAAATTTTTTGAAGTAATGCAAATTCAGAGACAATCACTGAACATCGGAGAATTTCACAGCCCCTTGGATATTTTTTCAAGGATTCAGATTGATTAATTATTCAGAAGACCTTCTACTGATCAACTATTCAATCAGGTAATCCCTCACATATTTCTTCAGTATGTCAGCTGAATCAGAGATTATTTAAATAACCGTAGTATTAATCAGCGATTAGCTAGTTTATGATGCCTTCAAGTAGATCAAGTATTATTATGAAGATATTGGACTGATAAAAAAAAATCAACGACGTCTCGTCAGCATTATTTGAAGAAGCAAGCAAGAGCAGGGATTATTGAAGAGGTCTCCAGATGATCAAAAATTCTAATATTTCAAGTGATTTGTTTATTTTTTAATTCTTCTGGTAGATCAGGGGTAATTCAGGCAACTGAAACAAAAAATCAAATGACGTTCTCCGGATAGGTATTCGTATATGCATTTTAATTGCACAAAAATTATTTTAAAATTATATTGTCCATGTTGCGCACCGTAGTCCAACTGTTTGAATTTTGGGCTGCTGCAATCCATGCAGTTCCCGTCAACGAAAGGAGTACACACACTGCCACCACCAACAAGCTTGTCCGCCAAAAGAAAAGTCTAGAACGCGCAAAAATTGGTCGACAAAAAATCGTTTCTTTCGGTCAAAATTCATATCACAAAAATCTTCTTATTTTTATTTCATATAATTTAAAGGAAAAAATGTCTGTTTATTATTTTGGTTTGCCAAATCTGAACTGCCGTGCCTTCCGCTCAACCCCTTCCATTAAATTTTGCACAGTAGTCTCATCGACCTTATGCGACGCTGAATGCCAGTTAGATTTAAACTGCTGCTCGTTTTTCATGGATTTATTAGTTTTTTTTTTTGGAGATTCCGTTTGACCAAGGCCCAATACCGTTCGATAGGGCGGAGTTCTGGGCTGTTGGGAGGGTTGTGGTCTTTAGGTACCACAACAACGTTGTTCGCATCGTACCACTCGATTGCCTTTTCCCCATTGTGGCAGCTCGCCAAGTCCTGCCAGAACAGTGCAGGTCTATTATGTTGCTTTAGATCTCTTGATTGATGGTTCCCGTAGTAATAAAAATGCCACTTTTTAGACCACACGTTCACATGATCTGCCAGATGAGATATTTCTTCGGGATCGTCGATTGTTTGATGGTTTTGAAAATTTCAGCCACTTTCCTTTTTCCTGATGCGGTATAAAACTCCTGTCCCGGAAGCTGCTTCAAATCCGCCTTCAAATGAGTTTCGTGGTCCATGACGACACAGTCTAACTTTGTGATCAATCAGATTCGTATACAGCTTTCGAGATCACTGCTTTGCCGATGTGTTTTGTTTATAATCTCAGTTCGCCACCCTTACCTTGGAGACGAACCATCCAGGGCTGAAAGTCTCCTTAATAAAGATATATAAAAAAAAACCTTTACCTTCTTAAACGTCGACAAACTGGCTCGTTTCTTGGCCCGCTGCACAGTAGTATGGGAGACATTGGGCTTGCCAGCGACGTCGAGGATGGAGAGATAAGGGTTCCGCTTATGTTTCAAAGCCACCTTCTTCGTCGTCGCTGCCACGTCCGGATTACGATTGCCGTCTTTTCCAGTCTTCCTGGCGGTCAACAGACGCTCCCGAACACTTTTAAAATGTTTGCAACGGTCGATTTGGCCTTATCCAGCAATTTTTCCAACTTGGCGTGTGACAACGTCGGATTATCTTGCGGCGCGAGCAAAATTTTGACACGCTGCTCCTCTTGCTTGGACGTCATTTTGAAAATTGAAGAGCAAACGGTGAAAACTCATCTTAGCAACCATTGTATATACACTCAACTTCCAAATGTAGCATTTCAGGTTTTTTATGCATTTTTAACAGAAATACACCAATTTGAAGTTGACCAATTTTTGCGCGTTTCAGACTTTATACCCAACTATGGATCGTGTTCTCCTTCCCGGACACCAGAATTGGACTCAATCTGATTGAACAAATTATTCTGATCTACTAATTGTTGCTGTGTTTTAGATTAAACAGAAAAAAACTGATCCATCCTTGCTGAAATAATCAAGATAGTAAGATAAAGTTAATTTGTTTGTCTTGATTTTATTATAAATAATTGTTAATACTTATCAACAAAACCATATGAAAATCAGTTGCCCAAACTCAAAACTGCAATCAAAATAACCCCGTTTAC